TTTTTATGTGCTACATAATCATGCTTTGCCCCAGAATGATGAAGTGTTGTCAGAGACTGAATCTCTGGAGCTCTGGTGGGTGACTGATGCTAATGCAGGGGTTTATACACTGACTGTCAACACAGGAAGCAAAGAGTTTGTGGTCACAGTGCTAACGACAACCACAAGTTTGAAGACAGGTGAGCGTCTTCAGTTCATTGCTGCTGTTTGCCTCTTTGTGTCATATTCAATTTCATCATTTCCCGAGGGCTGGATTAGCAATCTAGTAGAGGGCCCAAGAGACTGAATGACTTAATAAACTGCACTGGACCAGAAAGCTGATACTTGAACTTTTGTTATTATACTGTAGCTCACTCAATTTTAATTTTTAATTAGCTGAAGGGAAGGCAAGAGATTCAAAGGATTGTGATGCTGCCAGCCATGTCATGAGAATGTGGAAGGAACTAGGAATAAATTGGGAACTACTAAAACTAAAAAGAAAAAGAAACTCAATTATTTGCTTTAAATCGGTTGTCCATTGGGATTTGAAGGAAAACTGAAATACACCCAGCTAAAACATAATTCAAAAGTTTAAATTTCAATACAACCAAGCAGCATGTGGTCTGCCTGCCACCACTGGTTAAATAGTTTGATGGAGTGCTGTGAGCTGGCTGTGCTCAGTTAGGAAAATAATCCCCAGTTGTCTACTTTTTCATCCTTTGTAGACGCTTCTCATGAGAATTTGAATACGTGACAAAAAAAATACAAACAGTAGCCACACAGACGTCACAACTTACTTCCCGTTCTTTCATTCTATGTTTCAAACCACAAGCACAAACACACAAACACAACGCACTGCACACTATAACAGTAGCTCAACACCAGCTATGAATCGTGATATGGGGTAAGAGCACAGTCTGTTGGTCAGATTGGAGTAGTACAGCAAATGTAGAACTGAAAACGTCGAAATAGGTCACAATTTCCCGTAGCTCTCATCTAAATTTAATAGAAATGTACATTATCAAACTATGGCATCTCAGTTGTGTCTCATTGGACATCAAACCTCTCTGGGTGTATATATCAGGGTAGGCACGGTAGCATTAAAATTGACAATCAGAAGAGAAACTGTCCTAATTAAAAAGAAACACCTGTACATTGTACTATTGATATTGCAAATTCATGCCAACACCGTTACCTCATAAATCTGTGCCCAAGGCTCCAAACTCTAGATACTTGAAATATTTTAGTTGTATTGATTATGCATATTCTCCCGAATGCCAACATGAGCCGGGTTTTAATGATGTATTACTCTTCATTGGGTAATTTAAAGTTTTCGTCAACTATAATCATAATCCCTACTCTTTATGCAGGTTCAATGAATAGCTTTACATTTGGGAAATACATTGAACACACAGCTCTATATCTCATATTAAATACGAGGCTCTGACCGTAAAGTTTGAGTGTTGGCGAGCAAGCAATTAAGTTTATTTCCCAATAGATTGAAGTATGTTGTAAACAGTAATGCAAGCTAGCATGATTCTAATGTGATGGATAGACTACAGATTTCTACAATATGAAGACACAACCAATCTGCACAGTGCATTCTGATAACAGGATTGTTTCTTCTTTCACTTTCTTGACAGTGTCACCACAGGGTTTGACTGAATCAGCAGGCATCAGCCTTACAACATCACCAACCCCCGAGCTTTCAACCCACACAGATCGGACCACCTTCATTGCTACAAATGCTCCAAACACCACAAATGTTACAATCACAGCTGATGAGCACATAACCCCTTTTACAAATTCTACACACATCTCTATCACAGCATCCCCTACCACACACTCTCACACCCAAGATTTGCTCAATATGACTGTCCAGAGGACAACAGAATCAGGCTATCCTAGCACAATGTTGACCTCAACGCAAGAATCGGCCAGTGATGAGACGAGGAATGAGCCTGAGGTACATACAGAGCAACCAGAGGGCATTTCCTCAGCAACGCCAGAAGAATACAGCACCACAGGAAACATTTTTAAAAGTCCTGAAAAACCTTCATCTGGAGATAAATATGGAGAAAATGAAAATAAGGGTAAAGTTTTAAAACCGCAGTATTTTACTTTATTTACATCTAAACATGTATTGGTACGATGTGAGAATTTTTTTATACATTGCCAGTCTGCCTCTAGCTCGTTAGTGATGCTATTAGACCATTTGGTGCATTTTCTTTGGGGACTACCAACAAAGTGAGCACTTCTGTTTGTGAATATCAAGGCAAGGTCACAGTGTTGGGGGAAAAAATTGCTTGTAAACAGGCAAACAGCAGATATAAATGCTCAAAAGGCAAAACCTGAAAAGCCAGAGATTCTTTGCTTTCACCATCTGCATCTTCATCATATATTGCTCAGCCTCCGGCTAGAGGCCTTTCCCAGGTAGAAAACTCATTAAGAGGAGCATCTACTTCTAGGGATGCTGCATGACAAACTGAGGGGGAGGATTGTAAGACACACTTCTCTGCCTCGAGGCAGAAAGTTTCTGCGTTGTAGCTTTACATTTATTATCAGTATTTGTTGAAGTCTTGCTCGGTTTCACCAGAGCAAGACAATCAATATGTTAGAAACTGCAGCTGTTGCTGTACAAATAATCACATTTTCCCTTCTCACAATCTGCTTCTTAGATACGGCACCGATTCATCTGTTGTTGGTGGTAATCATTGTTCCGGTGCTGGTATTGATCGCTGTGGCTGGCTTTCTTTTTAGAAGACAAGTTATAAAAACCAGGTAAAACCCTTACTATCTATGCATTCAACCGTCCTCCACACCTGCACAGGGTCATGCACTGGGTGACCCTCAATGACCTCAAAAATATTGATATCTGTCAAATTTTCCAGTAGACACACATGACCTACAATACATACCTCCACATTCAATTCAATTCAATTTTATTTATATAGCGCCAAATCACAACAAAAGTTGCCTCAATGCTTTCTGGTTTCAACTAACTGTCTAACAATGCCACAAGTCAATATTTGCACTCTGACTCTGTCTTTGTAGGCTGGATTCGCCGCCTTCGTTCAAACCCCCTCCACCTCCAGTGAAGTATACAGCAATAAGACACAGCGAGACTCTGACAGACTCTTTTCCCATTTCAAGGTGCAACTCTTTAACAGAGACTCAAATATGAATGACTCAAATTTTTGTCCTCTCTTGGTCATGTTAAGAGTTACAGAATGAGGTTATTTTTACTCATTACAAACCAGTCACAGGAAATTTTCCAAATGTGGCTCTGTGTATATACTTTGTGAGGTTTTTTTGGGGGGGTTGTTTGTTTGTTTTTGTATAAAATGCACCCAAATATATCAATAGCTGAAAATGAATGCATATTAAAGTTCATTAAACTGACTTTTAAACCGTGTTTGTGTTATTTACTTTTCTCTTGTGACATTGTTTCAAATATTGTACTGCTTACTCCATATACTACCAATTCATACACAGTGACAGAACTTTTTAAGGTGTACTTTCTTTATCTTTCAAAGGAATGCTGCTTCTGCTGTAATACTTCATTCATTAGTCTGACGAGGCATTTCCTGCCCAGAAACCCAAGGATTTTCTCTAATTTAGCTCAGTATGTTTAGTTGATGCAACAATGTTAGAAATGTCTTAATATCAAAGACCCCTGTTGTCCACAGGTACCGCAGAGCGACAAGCATGATCACAAAGCAGGGCTAAAACCACAAACCACATGGGCTTAATGGCTAAAAGAAACATAGCAACCACTTGATGAAAGAAAATATGAATCAGTACGGGTTTCATAAACATTAACAAGTCAAGTTCTCTGATGTTTTTTTAAATATATTTTTTAATCCTTTGAGTTAATGAATTGCTAAGTTTTAATGAGCAATTTAAATGGATACTGCTTATATTTATTTAGCCATCGACATTTGTGTTTATCTGCCCTGCAGACACTCACGTATGTAGATGTTCTGGGAAACTTTTCACAACTGCATTTTTTTTCTTATTTTCCAACCACAACAGCTAAACCACAAAGCGCTACGTCTATGCAAGATTTAAATTCTTGATATATACATAGCATACGTAACAATGGCCCCTGCATACAGCTGACAGAACACTATAAGTAAATGTGAGCTTATTGTTCAAGACCACATTGTGGTTTTCAGCATTTTTCGACTCTTTATTTATTTTTTCTTTTTATTTAATTTTTTAACTCTAACGTTGAGAGCAGACCAGTCTGTGTGAAATTATCTGCTTTCTTATTGTAGATAGTTTTTACTGTATTTGTTTATAACTGTGACAAACAATATTAAAGTTGCTATCGTTTCTAAACAGTTGTCATGTTTATATTATAATACAGCGATCTATATGAAATTATTCTGTATCCCACTGTAGTGTTGAGACTGCGTGCCTCAGAATGAGGTTACCTCGCTTCCTGTTTGTAACTGAAGAACATTCAGTTTTCAAAGTACCGTGATACCAGCGAGGTAACAGAGGGAGGGTAAAAATAAACTACAGTGTTGCACATCTCACTGATTAAACAACGTGATGCCCTGTAACCTGAGAGCAGTCGTATCAGACAGAGAACACGTTTTCTTCAAGACGGCTGGAATATGGGTAGGATATGAAGACCTTTTAGAAATTTTAAGGTTATACATATCTGTTATATCTATACATATATATATATAATATGTATATTTCACAACATTATTCATATCTCACATACGTCGTATATCGCTAAGTATAATTCTGTATAATTTGCTATTTTCCAAAATACTAGAAAAATATTTTTCTAGTTATGTTATGATTATGGCAGGACAAAAGATAAAAGTCAAAACTCCAGGCTGACTGAGTTAGTAATCATGTCTGTGTATATATGTATGTAATCGTATGGTTCTTTGTCTACAGGAGTTAAGCATGTTGTGCTTGTGGGAACATGGCAAAAGCATTTTATGTAAATTTGTCAATAATTTCTAGTTGTGAACAAAACTGAGAGAAAAGATTACTTTTGAAAAGCAAACCTACGACGCTTCGCTTGTAGAAACACTCGAAGCTGTATACGCTAATAACTTTAAAGTAGCCATATCAGGCTTTAAAGTATGCAAGGTCGTAGTTTTCTTAAAAATTCTCCTCCTCACCATCAGTGATTGGATTTGTCCAACAATGTTAAAGCATCTAATTGTTTTTAGAAAACATGCTAGAATAATTTATTTTTCTCTTTGATACTGTGATGCATAGAAAGGGGGTTATAATATTAATGACAGCGAAAGCAAATAAATAGGTTTGAAATATGAACACTGAGTTCTAAAATGTGTCATTTTTCAATCTTAGTGGTCATTTTGTTTTTGTCTCTTAGTAGAGATGCTAACTGTAGCCGTGGTGCTGCTATCTGTGGCCCTGTCGATCTCTTTATGCCTCAATGTGATCTTTTGCATCAAGCGAAGAACTATTTTGTGCAGAGGTAAGATGATATGTAATCTAAATGTATTCACAGTTATTTCTAACGCACTCTTTACTTTCTGTAAATTTGCAACATATTTTATTCACACAGAAAAAAATGGATCCTGCTGCCCCCACACTTCTGAAGAAGAAACGTATGTTTTTTAATATATATTTGTTTATTTATTTATTTATTTTGTTGGCAATGTATTATTTAGTCCAATAGACAACACTTGATTGTAAGTAACAGTAATAGATACTGGAGTATTTTCATTTTATTTTTTGATAAAATTACAATATGCAAATAGCATCACATTGTTTAAACAAACTGTCCAAATGTTCTTTCATATTTTGAAGCCTGTCACACAATGAAGGGCATTATTTTCATGACCTTAATCATCAAGAGCAGAGGGAAAATCCCCACAATCATCATGAGCAACAGGAAAATCCAATCTATGGCAACATCAGCACAGAGAGAAGAAGTGAGTGTGTCTGCTTTCTGACTCGTTTCGAAAAAAACAAGACAAAATCAGTGCGTTAGCATTAAGAAACACTTGTATACCTTAATGTATAACTGTGTATGGTTTGCTGATATATACAAAAACATTTTTGGCAAAAACAAACATGGAAAACATGTTTTAATATGGACTAAAACTTAATGGATTAACATGTGCAAATTTGCCTTAATTGTACATCCCCCCAATTGTTGACTTATAATTTAGTTGTCTTGTTATTAGCATTCCGTCCGAATGTTTAACCCTGTAAGACCCAACCCATCAAAAAATAGCCAGAAAATTCAGATTTTTTGGAAGTGAGATGTTTATTAGCCCTTATAACAAAATCCACAATTTTTCTTCGCTATATCATGTCGTGTATGATCATGTTGACGAGGTCTCAGAAACTCATGTATCAAATATGATACAAAGGGCATTGTTGTTAATAAAAGAAAACATTATTTGTGTTTTACTTCAGGTTCTGCAGAGGGTTGCTATGAGATGATGACCATGCAACGCACAAGAGAAAGTAAGAAGGTAAGTGCTGTTCATAAGTTTATTCAAATCTATCTGCAAGTGTATTTTAGTGGATTAACATATTTCTATTACATGATCCAGTAAAGACTTTGAAATACCCTAATAAGACTCTCATAAATTAATAAAAAGCTCATTTAACTCCATCTTTATTTACAGAATTTCTATTAACTGCATAACTCACAGGTTCTTTGAAGTTCCTTTGAGTTGTTACATACAGCATTCTGCACACTAATGTATGTGAATGGCACTTGTAACTTGTGTATATAGTTCTTCTGTCATTCTTACACTTTTTTCATTGATTACTTTACTTGCTGATGATGTGACTTGTGAAATATATGTTAGTCATGTAAAATTAGCGCGTCGACTGATAGCGTTTAAAAATGTGAAAGGATGACACATTATGCTTCTGTGTCGGCGCTACTCAATTAAAGAAGAAATATCAAAATAATTACTGTTTGACACAGTTAGTCGCTTACTTTTAAAACGCTCATTTGTTGAGCGCTTGTGATTGTTGAATTTGAACAAAGACTACTCATCATCTTGGCTAAATCTGTTACTGCCTGATGCTTTTAAGAGTGTACTGCTCTGAAGTAAAGAGGCGTGCCAAAATTATTACAAAAGACAAGAACAAAATTGCGAAATGGAATGCAGCACAATAAACATTTTACCTTATTTCCATAACTGAAGATACAATTGTAACCAAAAATAACTCATTAGTTGCCGTGCCCTCCTTCTACTTTCTATTTTTTGTGATGGTAGGAATTCATTTTACTTGTTTTTCACTTTGTCCTACTGCACACGGTTTGCAGTTATGATTTTGACCAAAATCGACACTAAGTTCAGTTACATCGTTTCTTTTGCAACCATTTTATAACCATTAAGGAGACTAAGATAGATATTATGACATAAAATGGACTTCAACTGTCAGTATTTCACACAGAATAATAATGTTCTGCACTGACTATCTGACTATACTCAAGAAGTCAGCTCAATCTAAAACTAAATACTTACATTTTGTGCAAAAATACAACAGTCAAATCAGTTGAACTGATGCTTACAGAAGTGCTTTCAAAACGGAAGGCAACTGACACCAGAGACTCTTTGTGGTCAATAAAGCTGTGAACCAATGAACACAATTAAGCCTGAAGCCTTCTAAAAATAAACTCGACAAACTCAAATACATGAGAACATACACAGGAGCCACTAAATAGGATGCAGAAACCGGTGCAGAGTAAAGCAAAACCTGAAATCAATTTTACAATCAATCTATTTTTGTCTGTGTTGTCTGAAACCAGCCTTTCCAGAATGACCTGAATTATGCCTCACTGGACCTGAAGACTGCAAAGAAACGAAAGAAGAAGCATCGCCATCAGCATAGCCAGTCACAGGGACGAAATCATTTCCCCGAACAGCTGTCAGTCCACCACACACCTCCTCCGAATACATTCTTGGAGGTGGATGCAGACATGGATGCTCATCTTCCGTCCAGAGACACCAGCACCATGGTTTCACACAGCAGCATCTACCTCAACAGTCAACAAATAGCTCAACAGACAGAGGAAATGGAAAGAGAAAAGAATCTGACGCTGGAGAGGAATGTTGGTTGGAATAGTATGCGAAGGCGCGAGGATGGAGGAAATCAAGAGAGTGAAGAAGTGAAAGATGAACAAGAGTGTAACAATGGGAGTTTATGTGAACAGCTTTCAGAAGTAGAAACCTTTCAGAGCTGCACAGATCCTTTCATTGGTAGCTTTAGCCAGGATGGTCACCAGCACGGTTAAACAAACATATCAAGTTTTACTGTTTCAAACTGTTTTGAACTGAAGTCTATATCACCTGAAAAAGACTTTTTGGTTTTTATTTTATTTTATGTGCAAAAAACAAACTACTGTCTATTACTACAGCTGTAAAATGAAACTACGTCACCTAAAATATTCAAACTGCTTGCAGGGTTGAGCAATTTCCTCTCCGAGATAGACAAGATGAGGTCTCCTCATTGAGCAACAGAGGAAGAAAAGTGTACCTTTCATGCAGAGGGTGTAATAAATGTAAATAAAGCTAAAAGGAAACTCTTTGCGTGACATTTAGATGTCAAGGCCCGTGTGGAAATTTTTCAGTTTATTGCAAAAGATGAGGAAAACACCAAATCATCACAGGCCATGGAAGAACTCTCACTGTTTTGATGTCTCATCATCATATATTACCAGATGTCTCATAGAAAGGTGTGAAGAAATTATTTCTTACATTTGTTTTCCACGATGTGGGCGCTGGCTATGTGCTGAGAGGGAATGTTTCACTGAAAAACTCGACATGCCTCAGCATATGTGAAACCGCCTCTCGGTAATGCTAAGGGTGAAGATAACATTAACGTGACGATAACGTTTAAAAAACAGAGAAGCAAAAACAAAAAAGGGGGGGAAGCTTTAAGTGGGACATAAGTGATGACATTTTGTTTTCCCTGTGGGCACCTTACTTTGTTGTAAATGTCATGTAGGATTTTACACATCATGGTTATGACAATGGTTGTTACTTTAGTAATCTATTGCACATATGAGCTAATTTGCCATCTGCTTAAATGATTATTTCCCTCACTGTAATCCCTTGGCAGGATAATTTACTGCCCGGCTATCTGCCGAGGGAATTGAGCTATGGAGTGAACTCAGCAGTCAGAAGCCTGCAGCCCACTCTTTGTTGACAGTTTTTCAATAGCTGACCATGGCCTACTTCCCCTCTATGGATTAAATTTTGCCCTTGGGCATTTTGGATGCAACTCTTGCAGACATATGGGAATGTCACAAAAGAAACTTTTCACGGATAACAGGCACCGTTAGTAACTGTCATGTATGAGGACATAAAGGCAGTCATTTATACAGGATGTTTTCAAAATTATAAAGTCACGCTTCTATAAAGAATCAGTTGTAATTAGGAGCAGTTTATAATTTAAATATGGGTATTAATCTTATACTGTAGCCTATTAAGTTGATTTGCAGTGGGCATTTCCTAAGTTACTCTTTAAATAAGTATGAATTGACAACTTAGCTTTTAGATCTATCTTAATCGTGTAATTGAAAAAAGAGATAACGCTTTTAATGTGTTCTGTAATCTAATATGACATGATGAGAAGCAAAAGGCAACACACTTATCTTTACATAGACAAAGGAAAATGTACTGTTTTATACTATGCTCTTAGAGTAAACATACAACCAAGTACCAAAGTTTATGACTGGGTTACAGTAAAGTATTAAAGGGACATTGACAATGCAGGAAATCCTTCAACTACGTAACGTCTTCATAATAATGATTTGAGTAATTAAATGATTATGCAGTCCACAAGAATGGCTCAGCCAAGCTGACGCCCATTTTGGGGACCCTGCAGAGAATCGTGCTTCACTGCTGACTTAACTTTGATCAAGCGGTAAGAAAATTTCCTTGAGGTACATTTTCAAAGGTATTTATCTGCCTTTCAGCAAGGCTCAGCAAAAATCTGCAAATTGCATGATGTGGCTGTGAGGAGACAGAAAATACAAAAGAAGATTAATATTTTAGTTAAAAAAATAAAATGAAAAAAAAAGTAAAGTAAAAAAAAAAAATTTGTAGTAATTTAAGATATGACATTGGCTTTCAAACTCACAGTACAAATTTGTGGTTGCATAATCACAACCCCTTAACGCCTAGTGTATCGTATTTGATACATACAGTTTTTTTGTGACTTTTTAAACTGAAATGCCAGATGTAGCAAATACAATACAAATTAAACACCATATATGGAAATTAAAACGTATAATAATTTATAAACAAATTTGTCAGATGGCTCAATAAACTCTCTGTTTTCAAGAATTTGAATTTTCTGCCGATTGTTTCACAGCTCAGGCTTTAAAGGGTTAATTTCAGCCATGAAAAAGCAATGCAACAATTCTCTTTCAGCTTGTAGTCGGGCATGTGGTTTCTTTGTAAGATTGCTATCATTGTACAGTTTGCTTATGATGCCACATGTGACCTGCAGTAATTGGAACAGGTGTTATTTTTAAGTTGCTTATTTGTTTCATGTATGTGTGCGAAGAGAGCGAGAGGAGGGGGGATGAGATGAAACAAAGATTACATGACAGATATGAAATATAAAGTGGGTTACACTGCAGCTTGTGAATTGTGCATTAAATTTCTATAGTGCGTTTCGAACAACTGTTACTGTAAGTGTGACATTCGATAGAATAGTTCAGTAGAGACAAACAGCTCACGATCCAAAGCACACCACTGAAGGTGACTGCGGGAAAGGTTAATGCTGGACATCTTAATACAGAAAAGGCAGCATTTGGTGATGTCCATGGGTTCTGGACGTCAGGTAAATGTTGACATCCATCCAAGTATTAAAAACTAGTCATAATTTTTTAAATTATGTTAGCTTGTTCAATTACAAAATACTTTTGAGCCTCTGAAAATGGGGGATTATGTATAAAAATGCATGCAATTTTAAAACAATTAACACAATACTTTTGTTAAAGCACTTACATTAAAGCTAAAAGTTCGCACCTCAATGTAATCACATCTTGATTGTTTGATTTAAAACCCACTGTGGTGATGGACAGAGGCAACATTAGCAAAAAAAGTACTTTGTTCAAAAACCTATGGACTTAACTGTAAGTGGGTTTTCTAATCTGTCCCACCTCCTTGTAAAACTGCTATAAGTCATCTAAATTTATTTGGCAATGGTTACAACGGACAAAGGTTGCGATCATGGATAATCAATATTATTATGAACGCGTTATTTTTTTTTATCTTTAATAATAATTTTGCTACTCAGACAGTTACAGGTTGAGGCCAAGTATACTGTTTTCAAAGAACATAACCTTATTTTGTATTATAAACAACAGAACTCAGATTGTAGTATTTCAACCTCATAATACACAAATGATGCTAAAATTCTAACATTTGTAACCACTGCCATATGTAATTGATAACAATCTAGGATATTATTTTCAGTACATAAAGTACTTACCAGCAGATACGGTTGCACAAAGGAGTAGCAACCAGAGACCTTAAAAGAAAGAAACAAATTGAAGGGTCAGTATTTTTATGTAATAAGTGCCGCTGGAGATTTATTTTTGATTTGTTCTTTTTAAAGGATGTTAAGTTATACTATATTTTTAAGTATTTTTTAAGTAGTGATTACTCACAAGTATTAATTTAAGTAATGAGTGCCAACCATAGTTCTTTAGAGAGAAAAACTAAATTGTAGCAAAGTGGTTTGTTCTGAGGCAGTGAAGGGTCATATTATCCACTTGCGGCCTACCTGTAGAGACTGGTTAGCTTGTCGGCTGTTTTTCTCAAACTATGAGAGGAAGCTCGCTACGGTACAACAACTCATTTCTGTTATTATGTTTAAATAGCGTAGTTTGGTTACCACCTTGGTTACCTGCACCAACCTGACTAAACCATAAACTTAGGTCTTCCACCTTTCAGACGGCAACCCAATGCTACTATGCTAGTAAAATACAGTAGCAAACAGGCAGAGAGATGATGGTAGATAGTTTACATGAAATATAAGAATGTATAACAAAAATTTAAAAAATAAAATAAAAAAATCATGTTATCTTTCACTTTTTTTCTAACCAGCCGGAAATGGAAACTTTTTTTTTCACAGACTACGTAGTGAAGCCTCTGATGGGCGGAGACGATCTTCGTAACCAACATGGCAGCGTGCATGTGAATGTCATGCAGTTGTTACGAATTATTCAGGTGCGCTTATTTCAAATGCGAATATTCCGTTGTTAAAGCCTATATGTGACTTATATCTTGTCGATTTGTACCGTCACCCAACCCAGACAATCTAAAAGTGGGATCATTTGTTCAGTACCGCAGCTGATCACCGCTCATGCTAACATATTAGCTTAGAAGTAGACAAATTTCCATGATGGATCCCGACCAACAGCTGAGAAACGTAAGTCACTTTAAGTCACTGCTTTATAACCCAATCAGCAACACGGCTGGATGATGAGTGTGAGTGTATGTTTTTCAGCTGCGGGATTTTCTTCTGGTTTACAACCGAATGACTGAAATCTGCTTCCAGCGATGCAGCAGCAACTTCAACTACAGAAACCTCACAATGGACGAGGTAGGAAAAGCGAAGATCACAGTTACTGTGTCGGCTACGTGGTGGTATTGTTTGATTGCCGTGTTCTGCGTCTCAACACGATTTCTTTCAAATGTTTTTTCTGTCGGCTGTTCCATTTAGGGGTCGCCACAGCGGATCGTCTGCCTTCATCTCACTTTACCCCTAGCATCGTCCTCTGTCACATCAACCTTTCCCCCTCCTCCACTATATCCATGAATTTTCTCTGTGGTCAATGGATTTTCCTCTTTTCTTCCTGCCTACTGTCTCAACCGTCAACAAACTTTGTCCAATATATCACCTATGCACGTCCAAACCTTCTCTACCTTACCTCTCTAACTTCGTCTCCAAATTGCCAAATCTAAGCTCTTTAATATACTCATCTCTAAATCTGTCCATCCTGGTCATGCTGCTTTATTGTATTTACAAACACATTTGATGTTGTGTAACATCTTTGACAGAGAGGACTTTGCCTGTGACCCTACTCTGTGAAAGAGAAACTTTGTAGCATTCATAGGCCCTTACTGAATTTAACCTGCAATAAAGAAGCCAGTTTTATGTTGCAGCTTGAATATTTTCAGTCCAGTCAAACCACTAAAAATAGTCCCAGCCAGGATGTGGATAACACATTTGCCTACTAATGCATATATACTGTGTGATCACAATATACTGTAGTTTTCTGCTTTCTACCTCTGACTGCTGTTTGCCTTCCAGGAGCGCTGTGTGGACAACTGTGCAGGGAAGCTCATTCGATCTAACCATCGTTTAATGGGCACCTATGTGCAGCTGATGCCTCGGATGGTCCAGCGGCGGATGGAGGAGCTGGAGAGCAAAGCTGCAGAGAATGCCAAGGAAGAGGCAGCATCTGGAGCTGCTGGAACTGAAATTTCAGCAACACATCATGCTCCGAACACCTCATCTCCGCTTCCAGCTGAGCTGGATGCGTCTGTGTCCTCAGAA